AATTACACACAAAAGGCAAGATCTACAGCAGCAGTGAAGCATGCAGGCCTGGCCAGACGGGATACAATAGTCTCCAAACATCTGGTTTAAACACACTTCACCTTATGGAAGTTATCAATCCAGGAGAGCTATCCCAGTCCATTATCATCTGAAAGAAACATTTTGTAACAAGTTCTGTAATTTTTGCTAATTAGTTCTTAAAGAGCACCAGTTATATATTTGAAGATGCAGATAATGGTGCTTTCCTTGAGATAGGGGCTTAAGAATCAGTACCTATTGCCTTAAGAGTAGGAATTGGGAGCTTACATCCAACTTGAAAATTCCACTTTTCCACATCACATGAGACAATTAATAAAACAAACAAATAGCAAAGTCATCAGCAAGTTTACGTAAAGACTTGTCACCACTTTCAGAATTTCTGTATCAGCATTTATTAAACTTCCCCACACAGAACTTGAGGCAGGGGGAGGAAGCTACAAACCCCACATTTTTAATGAGGGCAAATATATCTACACCACTTTGCTAAAAACTGGCTATAGCAGATGCTGCCAAAAAGGATTCCCAAGTGGTTTTGCTGATCATCGGAACAATGAATGCACAAGGAAATGCCTCAAACTGCAGAGGGCAATATGTACTTGTTTTCAGTTGCCCTTCCTCCCCATGAGACAGTTTTCATTTTTTTTTTTTTTGGTGGGTCCCAACTCTACACTATTAAACATGCACAGGTCTCAAAACTACAATCTACAAGCCTGCTTCCAAGAAGTGTCCAACGTAAGTGTGAAATTAGCTCTTAAGACATCTCAAAGCTTATTTAGAGAAAATACTCTCCGTATTGTTAGCACGGATTCAACAGCAGACCAAGTTACAGATTCAGTATCTGTATTGCAAACTAAGCCCTCTGAGATCACCTCCTTATTTGACTCAAGCTGACAGGATTCTACTGACTTGAGTCAATGATCCATCCTTGTAGGTTACGGAAGAGCAAGAGAAAAATTAAAAGCATCTTTCATTTTAATTTCTAGTGAGTGACTTCCTATTATTGAGTGCTGCTTAGATACAGGTGGGGGAAACCTGCAAAGCCAGGACATATGGCACTATCGGTATCAACTAGATGTAGGATGTGCAGTTGGGCCAGACTTAGTGGCTCACTTCCACCAAAAGGCCTGTTTCCCCCCTCCTGCCTGTGGCTTCTAGTCACACAAATCTTATACCTTCACCCTCTCCTGTCCCCATCCTGCCAGGTTCCAGCTGTTTTAATTTCTAGAAACAGCAAAAACTATTCAATTTTTCAGCTGTTTTCAATTACTTCAAGTTAAAGCAACTCATAGAAGAGCCTGATGATCACTAGTGCCACAGTTGGAGCAAAACCTCATTTCAGCACGAGTGCTTGTTCATTTAGCTTACCGCACCTTGCGGAACTGTATGCCAAGACGTGCTACCTAAAAACCTAACTTCAGAAGAGCTTTGATACAGGATGTGTGGGTGAGAACAGATCCAGTCTTCCCTTTGTTGTAGGCATCCAGTGACCACCAACACACAGATTAAAACAAGCCCTTAGTCAATTATTAAAGCTTCAAATGGATGGATCCCACAATCCATATCTCATCGCTCTTTGAACAAGCTACACGAAACCTCATCCTGCAAGGTCAAATAATGGAGAGGTTTGGTCCAGACTACATAAAAAACAGAACCGGTACAAGCCATAACCTGATTAGCACACAGCCAGAAAGAGATATTTACAATTTCAAACGAGGGAGCGTATTTGGCTAACATCGACACTATGGTGAGACAGTTCACTCTGAGGTAAGAGCAGTAGGAATCTATGTTATAAATGCTGTTAAAGCTTCACTACACAGAGCCACACACTGGCTAAATACAAGCAGCATCAAAGCAACACCATTAAAACCAAACGACAGGGCACACTAAAAGTTGCCGTACAGGCAGCAACCGCTAGCCTGTTGCTGAAGGAGCCCGCTCTCCTCTTTTTCCTCAGAAAATCTGTGACTTTTGTCGTATTTCAGGCATTAGCTCGGTCGGTCCCGATTTCATCCCCACACGTCTTTTCTAAAAGCCAGCTGCTGCCCGCCCGAGGAGGGCAGATATGATCTCATCAAGATAATGGCTACTGCCATCCGCACCGGCCTCCCAAAGCACACCCAGAACTGCCCCACTCCTCCGCAGCCGCTCGCCTCTCC